AAGTATAATTAGTATATAATTAAAAAGTGTACTAGTAAAAATATTTATAATATAATAAAAATAATTATAGATTAAAATTAAGATAAATAAATCATTTAATTAATATTAAAAAAATTATAAATTATAATATTTAAAATATAATTAAAGTGTATAGTTATATTTTCAAAGAAAAAAAAGAACAAATTATATAGAATAGACGAAAATAGAAAATATGGATAAATTATGTTAGACGAATAGAGTATTTTAAAAATTGTATCTCAATAAAATATATTCCCTACATCTCATATCTATCTATTTATTTACTTTTTGCACATATTAGTATTATATTGATATATAGTAGAAATAAAAATAAAAAGACTAAACTAACCTTATTAATATTGTATAATACGAATGTAATGACAATTGTGTAATATATTGTAAATTGGAGGGTATTTTTAATGTTATGTAGACAGTACAATTACTAAAAAATGAAATTGATAGACAATTAAGCAACGGATCAAAATAAAAAAATAAATAGATTATTAAGGAACAAAAGGAGTATAATATAGTGTTTTGGTTACGGTGTTGATTGGGCCAGATCAATATTATTATGTTGATCTGACCCATTCGACACATATTTAGAAAAAATAATAATAAAAAAAGAGTAGAACATATAAATATCATATGTAATACTCCCACATATCATTTTCATATTGCCGTTTTTGTTCATCTCACATTCCATGTCACTTTCCTTTTTTGGAAAATAATTACACACTTTAATATCATTTTAAACTTTTTAGTTTATTTTCTTTTAATTTTAATTAAATTAATTAGTTACTTAATTTTCATTTATAATTATTTATATTATAGGATAATTACTTTCAAGTAATACATTCTTACTTATCTACTAATTACACCTCTCCTAAAATACTGTGTCTACAGTATAGCAGACACGATATGTGGGACGGAGGAAGTAGATATTTTGATAGTACATTATATAATTACATGTAGCATATATTGATTTGACTCAATCGGCACATATTTATATATATATATAAAATACACACATTAATATAATATATAACACATGTTTTAATAGCATATTATATAATTACACGTAACACAATATATTATAATTTTAACACAATAAGTAGATTGTACAGTACAACGCAATATATAACACACACAACAAATGCTGATATAATATATAGCATAACATATTATATATTTCCATGTAATACAATATATATCTCACATAACACATATTTTTATATAATACACAATATGTTATCTACTCCTTCCGTCCCATAACAAAGTATTTATTTTTCCATTTTAGTCTGTACTATAACAAAGTATCAATTTCTTTTTTTTTAAAAAAAAAGTAATTGTACTATTTACCTAACATTACAAATACTCTTACAACTTACAATATATTACACAAATGTCATTACCTTTCTATCACACAATACTAATTATGTTATTTTAGTCGTTTCAACTTTATTCTACTACATCCCAATATAATAATAATATTTCTAAAACTCCGTGCAAAAAGCAAACGGATACATAGTTATGGGACGGAGGGAGTAATTTGTAATAAAATATTAATTGCTTCAAATTAGTGTGTTAACTTAGTCATATGTTATATGTCTTGTGATAAAATATTAGGTATCTCATATTAATATGCTAACTCGATCAAATTAGTAGAACCGGCAATGGTTCGATTCGTGTCGGGTTGAATATTTTAAACGAGTTAAATTATTCAACTCTAACCCAGCTTGTTTATTATCGTGTCGGGTTCATGTTAACCCGTTTATTATCGTGTCGGGTTCGAGTTGACTCGTGTTGACCCGTATATATAATTAAGTCTAATTTCTTGATTCAAATTAAATAATTTTTTATTTTGTTGTCATGTTATGTTAGTTTTTATTGGTTCGAACGTAAATTAGGTTGAATTATTTAAATTTGAACTTAATTTAAATTAATTTATGAAAAAATTATTAAATTATGATTATTATATATATAATAAATATATTAATCAATATTAATATATTATAATCGGATTGTCGCGTCGGGTTCTTGTCAACCCATATACATAATTTGGTTGAAATCTTTGACCCAAATCCAATTATTTCGTATCAGGTTGTCGTGTCGGGTCAGTTTTTGCCGACTCTACAAATTAGTATGAATTTAAGTTTATGGTCAAATCTACTGTATGCAATAATATAATGTACCGTTAAAACATATATTCTATATTATATTGTATTATTTTATTTTTTTTATAAATATATACTGATTTGATCAAATCAATATGTATTATATACAATTATATAATTTATTATAATATATATTATATTAATGTGTATTATTTTCTTTATAAATATATGTTACATTAAGTAAAATCATTATAGTATTAATTTGAACAAAAAAACATATATTAATATAATGTAAATCTCGAGTAAACTTCCTTACCGTACTAATTCAACAACTCTTTTCGGTAGTATTTATTTGAATATATGTGCATGTTTTTTGTATGTTATTATTTTTATTTAAATTATTACTTATAAAAAATTGTTTCCAATCTTTTTTATTATATAATTTTGTTATTTTTCAATTAAAGTATACTTTCAATATAAAACACCATTAAATTATTATTTCATATAAAAAATAACAAAAATTAAAATCCATAAGATTTAAAAAAAAAAAAAAAAAAAAAAGGAACACACCCTTATTTTAGCGTATTGAAAATTCTCCACTTATGGCTACATTTATTCCCTTATTGTAATGTGTATTATTTTATTATTTATTTATTTAATATTTCTACTTAATGCATTATTTTGGATTTTTATAATAAATTAAAAAATATTTTATTGATTAGTAAAAATTTGTAAGATAATTTTAATATTTGTCTTTTGTACTTTATATATAAATTAATTGTACGTATAATAATATAATTTTAATTTATATAAAAATTAAAAATAATTTATTATTAATATATAATTAATTTTATTATAATAGAAAATTAATACTTTTGAATTATGTTAGGGTGTGTTTATTTGGGGGATTGGATTTAATTTCTACTATTTATTCTATTTTTTTTCCCCAAAAATATCAAATCAAACACCTATTTTTCATTTTTTATATTATACTAAGAATCAATTTTACATTCAAAACATCGCATCAACACCTATTTATATCACATCATACGACTATTCAAATTCAAAACTTTTAGTATTCAAATCTCAATTCAAAATCCTAACCCCCAGACAAACACACCCTTAATATATATATATATACTTTAGGTTGAGAGTATCTAATATTTATTTTTCAATCAAAATATAATATCCAATAATTATTTTACTTTAATGTAAATAATAATAACTCAAATGGGGAAAAAATAAGGTAAATAACCGTGAATTTATGGACTATGTGCCATGTGGTTTTTCAAATATATTAATCCTTTTTTTTTTCATAAAAATCACATTAAATATTATTTAAACATAAATTTTAAATGAAATATTCTTAAAGCAAATTCAAAGAACCACACAATTTTAATTAACCATGTCCCTGGAGCACAAAAATCAATATCCGATCTAATACTACCTTCGTCCGGCTTTAAGGATCTCATTTATTTTTTGCGTATTAATATTTGAATATTAATTATTATATCAAAATGTAATACAAATTAAGAAAAAATTGCAAAAATATTTTCATTAGTGTCTTATAATACTAATAAGAGGACTTTTTTAAAAAAAATTATGCAAATATACAGATTTTTTAATGTTAAATACAATAACGCAAAAAGTAAATGTGACCGTACGGATGGAGTATTAAAAATTTAATACTCTCTCTGTCCCGGCTACCGTATCCTATTTACTATAGACACGAAAATTTAAGATAAATATAATTAGTAAATAATTAAGAATGTATTAATGAAAATAATTATACCGTATAATAAAAATAATTTTAGATTAAAATTAACATAACTAATTAGTCTAATTAAAATTACAAAATCATAGTAATAAAAAAAATTAAATTAAATTAAAATGTATAATTTAAAAAAAAAAAAAAAACAAAAGTGGCAAAGGTAGTAAGTGAACCAGAGTTTATATATATATGATTTTATATATTCAGTGTTCAACAATATTTATCCACAAGTTACATACTCCCTCTTGACCTTTTATGTTATATTATTGTCAGGTGGCAACAAAATTTAAAAAATAATAATATTTTAATATAAAAATTAATAAATAAAAAACAACGTAAAATATTATAAAAATTTAATAAATTGTAAAAGTAAAAATAATAAATTGACTATTATTTGTTAAAATAGAATTAACTAAATTATAGACAATTTTTATCCGTTATCACTTTCCGTAACACAACATACAATTTTTTTATCATAAAACAAAAATGTCAAAACATTTTACATAGCTACACTAACTAATAATATACTGCTTTCTCCGTCCCACTTTTCATGTCCATCTTTCCATTTACATTCATCCGTCCCACTTATTTTGTCTCTTTTATTTTAATTATACTAATCGATTATCTTAATCTTAATTTATAATTATTTTTATTATATAATAATTATTTTCACTATACATTTTAAATTATTTACTAATTATACCTCTTGTAAATTCCAGTGTCGAAAAGAGTATATAAATTCAACAAAAAAAAAAAAAATGATATAGTTATCCGAAGTATTATCCCTCCTTCCCCCTAAATCAAAATTTCAATTATTTCATAGACAAATTATTCCAAGTCTTTTCTTCCTATGACAAGAAAACCTCCGAAAACTTGGCTTCGAATGGACAAGAGGACATCAAATTTTTAGAGCTCACAATCACAAGTTCATCGTCTATCGAACCAGTTTGGTCATTCTGCACCAAATTATTCTAAGTTGAACATAAGAGAGAAAGAGAGAGAGTAGAACATCAACATGTGCAGTGTAATTATAAGAACAAACCAACCAACTTTGTGCCACAAAAAGAAACATACACACACACACAGAGCAACTACACTAATATTATTAGAGTATTATTTCTGGCCCCAACTTGTTCTCTCTCAGACATACACTCCCAACATGTCTCATCACCCAATATATAACACACAATGTAAGAAAATAGGGATAGAAACATAAATTTAATCACTTTCAATGACCGCCGGGACACCATCCAACCCCCGCCAACAGGTGAAAGTGGTTTATTATTATTTAGGATGGAAAACAATAATAATAACAATAATACATTCAATGCCAATAGCCCAAACACAAGTAGACAATCAAAGTATGGAGCATAAATGAATCTTGCTAAGGCGCGGAAGAAGCCCGGCAAGGGTGTGACAAAAAAAGAGTTATCGATGAACTGAGAGTGTAGTAAGCACAGGCAGCAGAGCAGAGCAGCACATGTTTCCAAAAGAAGAAAACAATTTGGATAACTTAACTCTATTTATACAGTGGCAGAATGTCCTTATTTTCGAGGGGGCCATGAAAACATGTGCAACGCAGCAGAGAGAGCGACGCACCTGCTTTTAAATGAGGTTTATGGTGAAGCAGACGTAAGGATGAGCATCTGCCTCGCCTGCGAACCCGCCCACCCCTCCTTCGTCCTCAGTTTTCCAGTATGTGCTGCACCAACATAAACAGAAACTCATGAGGGATTCCGGGACTATACAAAGATGTGACCTACAATTTTTTAAACTTGCAAAGATCTGTAGACTTGTCTTTATATATATAATGTTAAAAATCAAGGGTTCGTAAGTTGGATTTAAGATCACATGACTTGCTAAATCAAATAGGAGTCTAAGTCGCAAAAAGGTCGAGCAGCATTCAATAACTTTATTGAAAGAATGATACACAAGCTTAACACGACGAATCAAATAGATCAGAAGCAACGGAATATTGTACCTGTTTGAATTTCCAGAAAGTCCCTCGAGAATGGATCGAACTTTCTTCTCACTTTTCACAGACGGTGACATTACAGTAGACTGAAAAGAGAACAAGTTTACACAATACCTCAGAAAACAAGTACTGTTGTGAATTGCAATCAAGGTGAAAATTCTCAACGGTAAGCAAGCAGACATATTTGAGGTATACCAGAAACGATGGTGGCAAACCATATCGCAGAATGCTTTCACTAAAGACACGAACAGCACAGAAATGCATCCAGGAGCTGAAAACCTGTATGAAAATAAAGGTCAATGCAGCTACAAATATATTCCAATTTATAGATGCAAAAGCCTATCCTTACTCTAACAATGATTTCCTTATCGATGAAATTTCTGTGTTTTTTCTAATTGTTTTTTGTTGAGGGTGAGAGGTTACTGATATAGGAACTTCATTGCAGTGCAGAACTGCACCGTGATTCAAGGATGATAACAAAATACTAAGCGTCCATGGAGAAAATTGTTGAAGGAAAACAGTGATTGGCTTATTGAATAAGTGATGCAAGAGAATCGATGCAAGGTGCTATAGGAATGATTGATCACACCCGAAATTGCAAATAAAATTGATCTTTACTAATTTATATGAAATGATCAAGTCATTATTATCAAAGTATAATAGTAATAGATGAACAAATCCAGATTAGATACTACCCGAGGAGCTAAAAAAATAAACTCCAACTGAAATATGAGTACTATGTGAACTTACAATCCTCCATTTGTATTTAAGATCCTAAAATGTCTTTTGTACATATATATGCACATCAACCAACTACAATCTATGGTCAAACTAATCGACATCTGTAATATTACCCTAAATTGATAACACATCCATCATTGGAGAAACGGCAATACAAAATATTAGAAAAGGCCAAAAAGGCCCTCCTTGCAAGAAATGCAATAGTTAACCAAGTAACTTTTATACCACCAAGGACATGTCATATGTTACACAACAATGGTCTCTATCTCCACGATATGCCACCCCTCAAGAAAAATAAAAAGAACAGAAATGTAATGAATACATGGGGCGAATTGTGCCTAATAAACTACTACTGATTCCTAAGCAGCCGTTTTCAATACTGATCGGGATTTAGGTAGGTGTCATGTAATGTGGCAAATCTATTCTTATATATAGGGAAAAGGTTTCTCATGAATTCCATAAAGGACAACATTTCCTTTGCTATTAGATTTTTAATTGCAGAGGCTTCAGCTATACTGACAAAGATTAGTCAAACATGGAGCACCTATGCGTGATTTCTGTACAACTTTTGTTAAGACCTTAGGGGCTGTACATATAGTAATATCACAAGTTAAATTTATTTGAAGTTTATTAACTAACCTCATGGGAATAAAGTTAGAAACTCAGATAAATATAAAGGTAAAAAGTGAGACCTCTCCGTAACTGGTGTAGCACCATTGCAGAAGAGAACTTCTGAATGTTTCCTGGTCTTGATTCAACTTGTCGAGTTCCTGCTTCCGGCTCTCTTGAGTTTCTGGATTGTATTCAAAATCACGAATCTAATACCACAGAACAATGGCGTATATTGTCAGATACTCTGCTAACATGCATTGTTCTAATTACAAAAAAAAAAAAAAAAGAGAGAGAGAGAGAGACAGAGTGAGAGAGAGTGAGAGACAGACACACAGAGAGACAAAAAAACAAACTGAATATGTAATGGGATGATCCACTCACTTGGAAACCTCTCTCTCGTGCCTTAGTTCTAAAATTGTCGGCATCACGATTGAATAATGTTACAGTATAAAGTGCATATTCATTATCCTCATGCAGTTTCTTGGATGATCTCGGGACCTGAAACAATTGATCAACAAATCAAAGGTGAACACACTAATCCAAAGAATATACAAAGCGTTTACATGCAGTATACCACATTTCAATGTTTACCGAGAAGTAAAAGTGATCCAACTTTTATAGATAAATAAGCCCAAATACACAAACAAGTAGTAAATGGAGTGCTTACCACGTATGCAGTCAAAGTCTCATAGCTTGATAGCCAATCTTTCTGAGAATATTTTGAGACAACAGCGAGGAGGGTTGTCAAGTGTTCTGAGCTAACAACATCTTGTGGTTTCACCAAACTGGAAAGATCACGAACAGCTAAACTGCAATGAAAATTCACTTGAATCAATTCAAAGTCAAACAGTATTTTACGAAGTGTGTGGGGGGGGGGGTTTTGTAGATTTTTCACTATTCATAAATTTTTTACCAGAAAAATCAAAACAAATACTTATTTTTCATTTTTGATATTACATTAAAAATCAATTTTACATTCAAAAACATCACATCAACACCTATTTATATCACATCAAAAAAACTATTCAAATTTAAAATTTTACTATTCAAAACCCAAACTAAATATTCAAACCCCTCAACAAACACGCCCATTGAATAATGAGTAAAAAGATACACACATATGAGCTGTTTTCCGTATTTATAGATGTATATAAGATTATATAATGATAAGTAACAATCAAGCTTTAGAAACATATTAACTTGATTGATTGTGTTACACACAGCTGTCAAACATTGGAAGAAAATAAAGATTGCATGCAAACTCTCAAAAGAGTACTCAGAAACACATGAATAAAAATACACCTTAGAAACACATGCCAATCCTAAAAATTTTGTTGGTAACAACAAATAGGCTTCCAGAAGACAAGGTCTGGGCGTTTACCCCTGATTTAGCAGGGCACCTGCCTAAAAATAATTTCAGTATACATCACACAGCTCCGACATATGAATGGAAGCAACTATGTAGGCCCACCCACCAGTCAGACACTTAATGAAGTGGGAAAGGGATTGATAGTTGCATTTCACAACTCATTCAAATTATGGTTTAAACTTAACAAGTTGTAATGCACTTTTGGAATGTATAATACCACATCAATCTTTATCTATTAACTTATCCTAAAGCAAGTATAATTCACCCTAATAATAAATCACATACCTTCCAGCCTGTTTTCTATTAATGGCATTAAGTTGGCTGCGCACATTGTTATACTCAGCAACGCGGACCTGTGAAAGAAAATCCAGACAGCAGAAATATGCTCAGCAGCTGAGGAAGTGATTTAGCACATGACACAAGCATGAAAGCTATGCATTGATTCTAGAGGCTCGTCTCCAGGATTATTTGAAATTCAGACCAAGTAAAAGTCAAGAAGAAAGTAACCAGCACAAACACAGCGATACAGAGTAACCCAAAAAAAAAAAAAAAAAAAAAAAAAAAAAAAGTATTTACTGACAAATTATGTTGTAAAACATGCATGGAGAAACATGATTCAACTTGTCAGTTACTAAACTCAGAACTTAACATCCACTCAAGAACATTTGCATCAAAAGAGGAGCTGTTTTCTTAAGCATTTCCTACTTTTAGCTATATATATATATATATATATATTATAACGGGAAACCTGCAGCCGCTATCCTTCGGGTGCGCTCTGGGCAATCCCGGCCGAACCTAATAGCTTGCAAATTAGGCCCAATAAGACAAGTCACACTAGGCGAACCATGTGTCATAAGCAAGACTTGGAGGTGTCGAGGTTTGAACCAATTCTTTTGCTCTTTTTCCCCTTTTTTCCTGTTCATTACCCACACTCCCCGATAAAAATTTATTATTTTCTCTCACAAAACATCGTATCAAACTACTATTTAAACCCAAAACACAAACACACACACACACACACACAAACCAAGGACAAGATTTTACTAGGCAGAAAACGTCAACTATTCTAGTTATTCCTTCTCTGATTGGGAATATGACAGATGATGCGTATTCTAATAGCTTAAACTTTTAGATGAGACGGTCATTTATATCATCTAACAAAGTGCACACCATAATGCACACCAAGCTATTAAACCACATTGCACCAACAATATGTTCCTTCCCCCATATAGATAGGCAAATTCCAGCTAACTCAAAGTGAGGACCCAAGGAGAAACTACCCACATTGAACCATGCAAGCACACACCACCACCCCTTCAATATATTTACTTGACACAAATGAACTTACCCTCTTAACAATCCCTACTAGCCTCTATGGCTCCTAGCTCCTCCACCTCAAACACGTCAAATTGAGCCTTTAACTTGGTGCCAAAAAATATTGAAGAAACACTGATTGAGGATGGATCTCAAACAAACTGATACCATGAACTCATTAAGCAAGAAATTCAAATAAATGTAGATTGAAGGAACGAACCAGAATTTCCACTAGAATCACCAACCAATGATAGAGAAGGATCTATCAATCACAACAAAGATTCAAAAGTATTCCCACCATTCCTCACACAATACATGTTTGCACTGCCCTAAGATCATTCTGTAGGCATAACTTTATGCAACACACCATTTATTAAACACAAGAAACTGTCAATGCAATCTGTTCAAGCAGTTCTTACCAACCATTCTTCTTTAGCTTACTTGGTTTCCTGTCTCACTTGGTTTTTCGTTGTTCATTTCTTCCACCAATCTTCATTACACCATAAATCCCTAATCCTTTGTTGAAAATCGATCACTTAAACTTTCCAACCCACATTTCTCCACAGAATTTGGCATCCCATTCCCATTGAGGCTCTAATGCTATTTATTTGGGATAGTCAATGCCAAAAAGTCAAAAAATTATGTACCCAATTATACAGAAAAACAAGAAAGGGCTAGGTAAAATAACAAAACAATATCGACAACTAAAACAAAAGAACAAACAAAAAAGCAACAAAGAATACTCGTGCCTCACTGTCTTTCCTCATCTAAAAATGAGGCCTCTTCATTTACTCCATAAGAATTTTATTACTATTTTTATTATTTACACTTTCTTTTAGACGTTAAATATTAAGTTAAAGTTTTGGACTGCTCATCCTAGGCAACAAAAGAAAAAACCCTCTTTTCAGGATAATGGACATTCAGGACCACCAAATGACCATCGTTTGTTGTTTTCTCCCTGTTGTGCGTCCAAACAGGTTACTATGTGGCTGTGCATCATTTAGCTGGTGTATCTCATGGTGAACTTGTTTCAAAGCCACTTTAAACACTTTCAAGCTGTACGCGGTCTTCTAAAAGCCTTTCAAGTCCAAAACACTGTCTAAACTGTGGCTCACTACACATAACACAATAACATATTTATTATAGTTAACAAAAAGCACTTGGGGTGAAATAAATCTATTGTATATAAAAAACCTCAAATTCTACTTCCCAAATTTACAATGCTTGTAGAACTCCAAGTCTCCAATGCATATATAACAAAAATGAACCATTTTATGTGGTATCTTCATCCACTTCTTGCTTTAATCGCCTAAACCATATACCATAAGTGAATACTATCAACATATGATATCTGAATGATACAACAATAGTATATTAACAAGTAATAGTGTAGCGTTATATCACATAAAACTCCAAATCCAATTCATTCAAGTGATCATCAAGCTCCTCTAGACACCATTATCGAAATCACCGTAATAGATGAGATCAAATTCCCCTTCATGCCAAGCAAATAAAATACCTTCATAATCATCCTACCGTCATCATTGTGCATAAGATTTTTGCACCAATGGAACCCCCACAATCCCATGAGGGAGTTTTTTTTTTCCAATCAACACTTCCTCACAATCAACTGCGACAAATATAATCAACCAATCCTCAATTAAACTAGAGTGGTACACATCCAAAGTTAAGGAACCATTATCCATTGCTCTCTTCCTACTAACAATCAATATTCACTTGCCCAGCCTTCTTATAGTAGTAATAGGTTAATTTTGATTTCCGACTTTCAACTTAGATTGATAGTTCTGGTCCCTGGCGCCGCCTTAGTCAAATTTGGTTACCTCAACCATTACCCCTCATCTTTATCCCCAAAATGAACCGCAAGATCGTAATTCTCCTCGGACAATCAGTATGGTTTAACATCATTGAATAATTGTGTTTATCGTTACCATAGAATAATATCTCCTCATGCTGCTTCAACAAAGGTAGGAGAGAGACCAACAACAGAATCACCTTATTCTTGAACTACTTACCACCAGTATCATCTAATAGATTTATGTTAACTGAAGCCATCATATTATAAGTAATCCAAATAACAGTTTTGAAATTACAAATAGAAACAACTAAAAAGTTATTATGCTCTTGCTGAATGTTCTCTCACCTAAATTTCCATTAAGAGTCGGATATAATAAAATCAAAAGATATATTTATTGAATTGTAAGTAGCAAAGGATATTTGATCTGACTTGTTAAGGAATAATCTCAACTGAAAATATCAAACCTTTCATTCATATTGTCTATAAAACAAAGCAACAAGTATTGTGTATCTTAGTTGATAAAAATTGATCTAGTGTTAGACCCAGAGCTCATCTTGCAGGTCGTATCTAGTTATCCAAAACAACGTATCTATCCAACCTACGCAGCACCAAAATAACTTATACAGCTTCATGTTGTAGCACAAAATTTTACAATTCAAACATATGATTCTCAGATGCACAATCGAAAGGATAGTATCATCTTTAAATACCATAATGAACAGATATTAACACAAAGTTACCTTGAGATCATCCTCAATCTTAGAAATTTGTACATGAATTCCATCAACGATCTCCCTTAGTGGTGACATTGTCGGATATTTTGCCTCATCCCACACAAACCTACAATATTATAGATCACTTACCAAATCTATATTCTCATACACAAAAAATTTAATCAGACAACGAACAAAGGGGAAACTCAAGAGCTGCAACTAATTACCTAGTGAGATAAGAATCGACAGGAACCCCATCTACAGTAAGAGAGCTAGTGACTACTCCCGAGACCCTCTCCAATTCTTCGATCTGCCGTCGAATTTTGTGCGACACACCTTCAATAAAGCTATTAGCCTGCAACAACCACAAAGTATAAATTGAAAATACTCGGATCCAAAGTAAATAGGCAATTAACAAAATCAGACGAAAATTCTGAACTAACTCGCCTTCAATAGGTCGTCGCTAAGAGCCAATAGCGAATCTAGGGTTCCCACTCGCAGATTCGGAATGTTGAACTGAATAATCCAGAAAAAAATCAAACAACAATCCCGATCGATTCTCAGATATATGAATAATTAAATAGCAGATCTTCCATGTACAACGAAGGGCATGATTCCATAAATGTGCGCATCGCATCGACTTACTCTGTATAGAGCTGTGTCGAAGGCCTGTTTGGAGATGGATTCCTGGAGACGACTCCAGAGGGAGGAGGCGGAGGAGCCTTCGCCGACGGGGAGAGACGCCACCCAATACCGAGTCGCCATTATTGCTGGTTCCGGATGCGGATTGGATCAAATTGCCAGGCGGGTTGCAGAATCTGGGAAAGGAATCGTGAAAATTGCTGGGCTAAATTAATGGCGTCCTCGACCCTACTGCGTGTTCTTGATCAGTTGTTTTCTCCTTTCGTTCTTTTCACTTCCACTCCCGGTTTGGCAGTTGAGATTTGCATTTTGATCCCTGGTTTTGTTATAAATTACAAATTATTGATTGGATTCTTTTGTTTTATATTTTTTTTATCGGAAATAAATTATTGATTGGGGGGTAAGGTTGGATGGCCTTGAAAAATATTGACTTATACTAAGGGTGTGTTTGTTTGGGGAATTGGATTTTCAATTCACTATTCTTCCCATTTTTTTTTCTCCAAAAACATCAAATCAAACATCTATTTTTTATTTTTTATATTATACTAAAAATCAATTTTACATTCAAAATATCACATCAACGGCCTATTTATATCACATCATACAACTATTCAAATTCAAATTTTTTACTATTCAAATCCCAACTCAAAATCCAAATCCCCAAACAAACAAGCCCTTAAAAGAATATTTATTATTTTTATTTGTATTGATTTTAATTTTTGCTCAAAAACAATAATTTTTTAACTTAAATTTTTTTTCAGAAATATCTTTAAAAAAATAGAAGTAGTTTTTAATTAGAATTAATATTTTATCCCTAATAAAAATTATTATTAAATAAATTTAAATTTAAAAGATATAATTGAAATATTAAATTTTAACTATAAATTTTAATTATATAATAAATAATTTAATATTTTTAAATATTTTTTTTAACTAAATTGTAGAGTTAATTATATTTTTATAAATAGAATTTAATAAATATATTGAACTTAGGCTAGATAAATTATAATTTTAAATAAACTTCAAAAAATTAATAAAATACTATTAGCATGTCTTATTTGGATTTTAGGATTGGTTTGTTTTGTCCAAAAAAATATATATATTTTTTTTAAAAAAAAATAATATATTACCTACATTCTTACATACAATTTTCTATATTTTATATAAAAATTTATTCCTTCAAACTATTTTAAAAAATAAAAACTCTTAATAATATAAAAGTAATTTTAATTTTATTATATTTAAACAGTTTTTTTTTATTTTTTTTTTATAGAAAACTGCTTTTATAAAATTCATCCAAACATAAAATCTAGTTGTTTTTTACTTTTGTTTTTGCTTATATTTTTGGCTTATACTTATTTTTTTAAGTCAATTCAATCGGTTTTGAACCACTTGTTTAGATAGTCTGTTTGTTTCGTTTTGAACCGGTAGTTTCGGTTCAAACTAAAGTTACCGTTGAACCCAAATCGAAGTTGTCTTCTCCTCTACATAGTTTGGTTTCGGTTCATATAATCTCCCAATCATATGAAGTAGTTTTTGTTCTAATTGGCAATCTATCATTTTTTTTCTTTTAAAGAAAATGTAATACTCAGACGAGAATTTAGGTAAAGTATGATTAGTAAATAATTAAAAAATATATTAGTAAAAATAATTATTATATAGTAAAAATAATTATAAATTAAGATTAAAATAACTAAATAATTTATTTAAGATTAAAAAATTATAAAATTTAAAATTTAAAATGTAATTAAAGTGTATAATTATATTTAAAAAAATAAATGAAAAATTAGGTGGGATTGATAAAAATAAAAATAAGGACTAATTATGTCGGACAGAGAGAGTAATAAGTAAGAATTTTACTATCATCTTGGCTGAGCAATTTTATAAATAAATGAGAAGAGACAAGTATTTATATTTAAATCCTATAATAAAAAGTACTTCATCCGTCTCAAAAGTATAATCTTATTGTGTTGGACACGGAATTTAAATAATATTGATATTATATCGATAATTGGTAAAAAATAATGATAAATTATTTTTTTGCCATTGTGAGTTTATTAGTATAAAAAGTACAATTGTATAATAATAATAAAAAAATAGGAATAATTTTACAGTGATATTCACTTTTTTTTTCAGTTATTAAAAATATCTTTCATTTTTTAGTAAAAATATATCACTTTTTTCTATTTTTTACTATAAAAGAAGGTTTTTTTTAAAAAAAAAAAAAAAAAAAAAAAAAGACACTCGTGTCTACCATAATTTTAGATGAGAAGTAGTATTAATTTCTTTTCTTTTTCATAAAATTATAAAATAAAAAAATAAAGAAAGAAAATGTAAATATCAATTAATTACTGTTTTTTCAGAACCTACCTTCTAGCCGTGCAGGTATTGTCCCATAAACTGAGTTCGGTGCACAAATGAAACCAAATAGTAGCATAACAGTAAAAAATTTCCAACCTTGTCAATCGAAACACGCCGTAACTTACACATTTTTACTTTGATATTCTCGTCCCAGAAAATATGGGACTATTACTGTAAATACGAGAATTTAGGTAAAATATAATTAGTAAATAATTAAGAAGTATATTAGTAAAAATAATTATAAATGAAGATTAAGATAAGTAAATAGTTTAATTAAAATTAAGAAAATTATAAAATTTAAAATGCGATTAAAATTCATAATTATATTTCCAAATGACAAGTTATGTGGGACGGACAAAAATAGAAAATAGTAACAAATTTAGTTGGACGGAGGGAAGGAGTATTATGGTACAATTCTTCTTTGAGCTATTTTAATTGAAAATCAATGAACCATATGTCTAGTTAAGAATATTAAAATAATTAAATCATCCATTCAATTTGAAAATATGAATTCTTATTGAAAAATTAGTATTCCAAATACTTTAGAAAATCTTTCAATTTCATATATATTTATGATAGACAAAATTTAGAAACATCAAAAGAATTTAAACTCATGACTTCAGAGTCACATGTTCACCCACAGTAATAATATTGTTTGATATTGTTATATGTATCACATGTCAAATATTATTTGTATGATTTCAATTTTATATATACTCAGAAAAAATTTAAATATAAAAGATGTCAATCTGGACACTGACAATCTTTTAGATTTTCTTTCAGAAAAAATTGTTAATCTGAACTATGACATTCTTTTAAATTTACTTTTCACCGACAATCTTTTAAAAAAAGTTAAAATATAACAAAATATCAATCTGGAGAATGTTAATCTGGACACTGACAATCTTTTAAATTTATTTTTCACTGACAATCTTTTAGATTTTATTTCAGAAAACGTTAAAATATAACATAATGTCAATGTGGACATTGATAATCTTTTAAATTTACTTTTCACTGACAATCTTTTAGATTTTATTTCAGAAAAAGTTAAAATATAACAGAATGTTAATCTGGACACTGACAATCTTTTATATTTATTTTTCACTGACGATTCTTTTAGATTTTCTTTCAGAAAAAGTTAAAATATAACAGAATGTCAATGAAACTGACAATCTTTTAAATTTACTTTTCACTGATAATCTTTTAGATTTTCTTTAAAAAAAAATTAAAATATAACAGAATGTCAATCTAGACACTGACAATCTTTTATATTTACTTTTCATTGACAATTTTTTAGAAAAAGTTAAAATATAATATAATGTTAATCTGGATACTGACAATTTTTTAGATTTATTTTTCACTGACAATCTTTTAGATTTTCTTTCATAAAAAGTTAAAATATAACAGAATGTCAATGTGGACATTAACAATCTTTTAAATTTACTTTTCACTGACAATCTTTTAGATTTTTCTTTCAAAAAAAAGTTAAAATATAACAGAATGTTAATTTGGAGACTGACAATCTTTTAAATTTACTTTTCACTAACAATCTTTTAGATTTTCTTTAAGAAGAAGTTAAAATATAACATAATGTTAATTTTGACATTGACAATCTTTTAGATTTACTTTTCACTTACAATCTTTTAGATTTTTTTCAGAAAAAGTTAAAATATAATATAATATTAATCTGGACACTGACAATCTTTTGGATTTACTTTTCACTAACAATCTTTTAGATTTTCTTTTAGAAAAATTAAAATATAACAGAATGTCAATGTGGACACCGACAATCTTTTAGATTTACTTTTCACTGACAATCTTTTAGATTTGTTTTCAGAAAAAGTTAAAATATAACATAATGTTAATATGGACACTGACAATCTTTTAGATTTACTGACAATCTTTTAGATTTTTTTTTAGAAAAAAGTTAAAATATAATAGAATGTTAATATCGACACTGATAATCTTTTCGATTTACTTTTCGCTAACAACTTTTTAGATTTTTTTTTCAGAAAAATTAAAATATAACAGAATGTCAATCTGGACACTAATCATTTTTTAAATTTACTTTTTAGTTTCAACTGTAATTAAAAACATTAAATATGATTTTTTTTTTTTATAATAAAAGTCAATGATCTATTTATTTAGGATGTATCTGTTTTGTAAATTTTGAAGGATTTTTACAATTACTTCAAATTTTTTATTTTAAAAAGACTAAATTAATTAATTATTTTTTTTTAACGTTATACTAAAAATTAATTTATATATCAATATTTATTTATATCATATTAAAAAAAATTTCAAATTTAAAATTTTACCATTAAAAAAATCAGATTCGACATTCAAACTTTAATTTTTTTTTTATTTTCTTAAAAAAAAAAAACTATGTATATATAAATATATTTAGTTTGCTAATTAGGAAAGCGAACGTCCTGTAAAAATACTAAAATTCAAAAAACGCTGAAGATTTCACCCGATTCATAAGTCGCTGAGATCGGAAAATGCGATTTTAGGTTATTTCAATTTGTCGTGATTCGAAAACGTGGCTTTTAGTTTTTGCCAAAAGAACCTCCTCGAACGGAAAAAGCACCTTTCTCGGAACTCCCTCCACTGCGGCCAGCAATTCACTGCTCTTCCGATCTCCGATTGTAATCTCCATTATTGTTCCTTGTTTTGTTGTTGATTTAATGCAGGAAAATTGCGAGTAATTACTGGCGTTTGAGCGGGGAGGGGGAGGGGGGTTGTAGTTTGGGGATTGTCGGAAATGCAGGACGGCGGAGGAGGGGAATGCGCCGGAGATGCGAACGCCGGGCCGGCGAAGCGGATGCGGCGGCCCAGCGTGAGGCTGCACCAGCCGTATTACGAGAATCCGGGGCACCGGAAGCTACAGCGTCAGTGGAAAGCGATGAAGAAGGATGCGGCGGAGGGGGGGAAGAAGGGGCGGGCGGCGGTTAGGACGGCGCAATCGAAGAGGAAGAAGAACGAGGGGGCGAGTGAGAGCAGCAAGGGCGAAATGGCGGAGGGTTTGAATTCCGACGACGACGTGGCGATTGGTAATTGGAAGAGTTTCAATGCGGCGAATCGGGATAGGGATTTCAAAAGGAAGAGGGTGAGGCCGTCGTCGAAGCCTCGAGGGAACGACGAGGATGCGGAAATCGGGAGGATTCCGGCGTCCAGCGACGGCGGTAGCGCGGCGGATGGTGTACGGAAAGAAGGGGGGGACGAAATTTTGGGGGCTAATGGGATCGATAGCAATTTAATAGTCGAAAATTCTGAACCATCTAGCCCTCGTTGCTCCTTCGGCAATGGCGGCACCGGAGATCGGAAAAATGATGGTAATGATGTAGGGATGAATTGGAGATCAATGAAGCAGTGCAAATTGATGATGAATTGTAGGAATTCGAATGAGATGAGGATTAGGAATGGGGTGAGTGATGAGGATAGGGATGGGGTTAGGGTTTGGTTGAATCAATTGGGGTTAGGGAAGTATTTCCCTTTGTTTAAAGTTCATGAGGTGGACGCCGAGGTTCTGCCATTCTTGACGCTCGAAGATCTTAAGGATATGGGGGTTAGTGCAGTAGGGTCCCGGAGGAAAATGTATGCTTCGATTGAGAAGCTTGGGAAGGGATTTGAGTGAGCTTTTAGGTGGATAATTTGAATGTAGGGAGGAATAATCGTTGTAGCGGAGGTTAATTTGGTAGAATTGGCGATTTTGGTGGGCTTAGGTGATTGGTGCTAGGAATTATGGTATCTATGGTTTGGTGTTTGTTAGAGAATGTTAATAACACACCTTTTGAAGCTGTTCTAGGATGACTAGTTTATAATGGTCTTTTGTTCTTGATGAATATCTATCTCTGTCGAACTTTGCTTAGTTTGTGCCTTTTTTGTTGGATTATATTTGCTTTTGTGTGACTATTTGATGTTTAATTTAGATTTTGAAGCTGCTTAGATATGTTTGCCGTTTGGTGAACTTGATATATTGCTTTTGTGTGACTATTTGACGTTTAATTTAGATTTTGAAGTTGCTCAGATAAAATTTTCATTTGATGAACTTGGCATATTGCTTTTGTGTGACTATTTGACGTTTAATTTAGATTTTGAAGTTGCTTAGATAAATTTTTCATTTGGTGAACTTGATATATTGCTTTTGTGCGACTATTTTGAAGCTGCTTAGATAAGTTTTCGGTTTGGTGAACTTGATAGATTGCTTTTGTGTGACTATTTGACGTTTAATTTAGATTTTGATGCTGCTTAGATAATTTTCCGTTTGGTGAACTTGGCATATTGCTTATGTGTGACTATTTGACGTTTAATTTAGATTTTGAAGCTACGTAGATAAATTTTTTGTTTGGTGAACTTGACGTTGCAGGCAACACATTTTAGATACCATGGTATCGTTTAAGTTATGGTGGCGAGATTGAATTCTTGGTTGAAGTGTTGTGACAGAAGATTTGATCGAGCTAGCGGCTGTTTTGTTTTCGTTTTAGTATTAAGAACTAAATGATCGAGTTGTAGGTTTGCATCTTGTCATTGGCTTTACTTTCTTGTTTGCACTATGATTGCTCGATGTCTGAGATTTGTTAACTTAGTCAGGGCTTTCTTTTATTGTCGGATAAATGTGGTTAAGTTCTTGTTCTTGAAGATAGACTTAGGGGATCGAATTCGAGGCTTGGATATTATTCGATTGGTTTGCAGTAGAGTGAGGCATGTTGTATGACATGGTTGTTCTATAGATCATTGAAACTTTCGATACTCTCGGGATGGTTACTATGTGCTGATTGGTGTTGATTTGTCTCGGACAACATCTGTCTGTGTGTTTATATTTATAACATGCGATGTATGCGACTATGTCATATGTTGTCAGATCGTGTATTTATATTATGTTTCGAATGTGTTGTCAGTATTGTGCTGAATTTTAGCTTTGTGTTAGAATTTTATATTTCATGTTTGAATGTAATACTACTATATGAATGAATATATATGTTTGTTGTTTGTGTGGTTTTTGTCATTTTTGTTGTACTTGGGCCTGTATTGAAATAATTATAGGCCCACGAGTTGATATGAGGAGGTTTTGGATTTTAGCTGAGAAAACAATGGTTTGGTTTGTACTCCCTGTTCATTTTTTTTTTTTTTTAAATATTTATTTTATTATTTTTTAAAAAAAATTATTTATTCCCTTCAATCCACCAGAATTGAACTCATTTAAGGTGATATGTTTAATTAATTCATAATAATTAGTTATGATATTATTATATTATTTTTTGTATAATTAATAATATTTATAGTTTTAAAGTAAATTTAATATATATATGATTAAAAAAATTAAAATATATGTTTAAATATTTAAAAATTATATAGCAATTAAAAAAGGGTTTTGAGTGGGTTATATTTTGATTTAATAACTTTTACTAAAAATAGAAAGATGTCAATTGTTACGGGACATATAAAAATAAAAATTATGTCAATTGTAGTGGAACGGAGGGAGTATATTTTAATTTTATGTTAAATTTTTAAATTTATAATTTTTTCAATTTTAATTAAATTAATTATTTATTTTAGTATTAATGTATAATTATTTTCATTATACTATAACTATTTTTATTAATATATTTTTAATTATTTATTAATTATATATTTCTTAAATTTTCGTATTTACGCGGAGATTGCATTTTTACCGAGGGAATAAATCAAAAAGTATGTAATACATGAATAAATAAATATTTTTTTAAAAAAATAAAATTACTACATTATTTAAAGTGTAATTTTCTACCTGCAAGACCTTCACCGTGTCAATTTCATATGATACCCACTAAATATCACCTTTTTCACTTTCCGCCCCATACTTTCCGATACTCAGCAGCAGCCACTCGCAGACGGCTTTTTATTCAGGAGCATTTTCTGCAGCTTGATAAAAGTTTTATTTTTATTTTCTTAGTTTGATAAAGCTACAGTAACAGTATTGAATAGTTCCCAGCGACGTCACGTGGGGGTTAGAATCCCAAGGGTGACAGTCTGTGAGGTTAGAATTACTTCCGAGTCCGGAAGAACCTTCGGAGTCCACCTGGCAAAAGGACCCAAAAAGTTTGTTAATTATTATTGGGCCCATTTATTTTCCTGTCCAATCCATTTCACACCTACGGTACGCACAGACTTCCCTTCACTCACCCGCCTTCAACTAGCGCGTGTTTCACACCTCCATTATACTCTCTGTATAACAAGTTTAATTAAGATTAAAAAATTTTAAAAATAAAATTTTAAAATATAATTAAAGTGTATAATAATTTTTTATAAAAAAGAAACAAATTATGTAACACATATGAAAATAAAAAATAAGAATAAATTATATAAGACATACGAAAATAAAAAATAAGAACAAATTATATAAAAAGAAGAGAGTAATATCTCATAATCCAATGATGAAAATAAAAAAAAATTTATGCTTAGAATAGAATACGTATAAAATTTACAATTTGTTTGTCTATTTTTTTTATATAATTTTTAATATACATTTTTTATCTTTTCATAAAAATTGATATTTAATATAAAATATTATTTTCTTTGTAATTAAAATTTATTATTTATTTTGTCCTATATTTATATATCCATTTGCATTTTATACAGAATTTTAAAAATATTAGTATTATATTTAATATAGTATAAATAAAGGTAAAAAGATTAAATTAACCTTATTAGTATTGTACAATAAAAAAGTAATGTTATTTGTGTAATATATTGTAAATTTGAAAGATTTTTGTAATGTTAGATGGATAGTACCATTACTAAAAAAAAGAAATTAATACTTTGTTATGGGACATACCAAAATAAAAAAATGTATAGATTGTTAAGGGACCGATGGAGTGTTATTTTCCGTTTTCCTGATGTCATCCAAATTTATTCTTGTTTATTTTTCTAGTAAAAGATATCATTTTTAATTTTTTTTATTCTAAAAAGAATTTATTTTATTTTTACCTTTTCTTTTTTAAATTCGTGTCCGATCAAATAGAGATACTTTTTTACAACGGAATGAATATCTTTTATATTACCGATGAAATTTCATATACCTAAGTAAAAAAAAAATTCAAATAAAAATACTAAAAAAACAAATCTTTAATATTTCAAATTAAATACTAGTTTCATTTCATAACATTCAAATAAAGATAAGTAAATAACAATTGAATTTAATGGAAATACATCACAAAAAAAATTGACTATTTGACGTCAAATTTGATTTGATCATTACACTCAATTATTTCATCAGTGTTATTTACTTGACTTTTATTAGTTACACTAAGACAATCTTTAGAATAATGACCTACTTCATCACAGCTACAACATTTCCAAAACTTTGATTTATTATTATTTTTTTTTTTATTTTTATTATTATTTGATGATTGATTATTTCTATTGCTGTTGTTTTCATTATTTCTTTTGAATGTTCTACATTTAACATGCATAACTTTGTCAATTTCGTTTTGAATTGATTTATTAGCTAATAAATCTAATTCTTTATTTTTTAAAGTCATTTATCATTACATTAAAGTAATGTAATTCATACTTTATTTAATTGCGAACTTAATATTACTATAGAAATCATGAATGACATTTAAAAGTACAATCGAATAATATTCATCAATTTATTAATATCCACTGAACTTTATATCTTGAATTAGTTTATAAAATACATTCATACTCTCATCCACACTCTTACTAGTGTCTAATTTGAATTGAATATTTTTTTTTTTTCAAATAAGAATAACATGTTTGAAAATGTTACTTCTGGATATAAAACATCTAACATATCTTACAATTGTTCTACACTAGAAAATTTACCTATTTTTTTAAACACATTATCAGTTAAATGCAGTACAACACAAGCACAAACACATTCATCAATTTCCAACATATTTTTCAGGAGGTGTAATATCATTGTATGTAATATCTATTGTTCGAGAAATTTTTTGAATAATTAATATACTTTTCATTTTTTATTTTAAAAATGCAAAATCTATTACCTACCAAACACAATTTTTCAACAATAACAAATTAGAACCATTAAGCAAATACCAATCAACAACCAACCAAAAAACATACGACTATATCAAGAATACAAAGAAAATAATCAATATGCAATCACCAAATTCACCAAGAAATATAAAAGAGAGTTTAGTCTTTTACCATAATTGATCTATTATTAACTATCGATTTACTCGAAGATTCTGCCCGAAATTTGATCTGACAAATTCTTATGCTTTGACATATTCCAGCTCTGATACTACTATTGTGTTTTTATTATATCTGTCAAGGAAAAAAAAGGATCTTCAACAAGAATATGACCTAAAATTGATATCTAACATAAACTAGGACAACGAATTTTAAGACAAAGTCATTGATACCCAATTTTAAGACAAAAATGATGACTACAACGAAATCGACTCCCGATTCAAGCGCCAACACAACTACACAACACAACATATGTTAATATAATATATAGTATATATTTTGAAAGTATATTATAGAATTTCATATAAAACAATATATTGTGATTTCAACCCAATAAATAAATTAGTACTCCCTCCGTCCAGCTATAAAGTATACACATTTCTATTTTGGGACGTCCAATTATAAAGTAAACATTTCATTAAATACCTCATTTTTTTCCACAAATACCCTTACTTTACATCACATCATTACTTTTATACCAAAAAGTAAGGGCAAAAATGTTATTACACTACTTCTAACTACCCACTATAATTAAAATACTATTATTTCTTAAACACTGTACCAAAAGTAAATGTATACTTTATCCGTGGACGGAGGGAGTATAACATAACACTAACGCTTTTATATAGCATAACACATGTTATATTCCTTGTGATTAGGCTTTAAGTTAGTGTCATAACTTGATCAAATTAGCACAAATGCTTATTTGATAGAACGAGCACCTTATCCGCCGCTATGGTCATAATATTTTTTTCATTCAAATCTTTTTTCAATTTTAGAAAAAAAAGATTATATACTAATATTAAATTACCATTTATTTTTACTTAAATTATAAATATACTATTAGATATAAAATTATTTTATATATAAAGTCAAGGTATGAAAATATCAAAATCTTTTGAACACTTCTATTAATTACTATTATTCAAATTTATTCTCGCATTTATTTTTTTGTTGTTATCTAAATTTATTACAGTTTCTTTTTTTTATTAAAAGATACAATTTTTTTACTATTTTTTTTACCCTGAAAAATAAAAATTTCTACTTATATATATATATTAAAACTAGTGTCCAATCAAATGAGCAAACAATTGGATGATGAAAAAATTATTACTTTTAAATTTAATACAAAATTTCAAGAGACCCATTTTAATTGGAAGGGAAGAAGTATCAATTTATTCTTTGTATAATGATGAGCTCTAATTAATACTTTCTTTCACTTCCAAAGTTCTCATTTATCTTTTACGTCATTGTACTTAATATTAAAAACATATTTATATTTTTATAATTTTTTACACAAATGTCATTATAATAGTATTATAAGATACTAATAAAAATATTTTTGTCATTTTCCTTTGATTTGTATTATATTTTTATATAATAATTAATATTTAAATATCAAAATGCAAAAAATAAATGAGACCCTTAAAACCTCGAACATTAATTAAGGCCGTGTTCTATGGCAATAGATACACATTTATGTTGTAAGTGCAATTTCTATAATTATCTATTAGCTATTGTTCTTATTAGTTCTTGTAACCAACCATTTTGGACAATTTTAGGGTGTGTTTGTTTGGAAAATTGGATTTTAAATTCACTATTTATCTTAATTTTTTTTTAAAAAAATATCAAATTAAATATTTTTTTTTTATTTTTTATATTATACTAAAAATCAATTTTACATTAAAATATCATATTAACACCTATTTATATCACATTATACAATTATTCAAATTCAAAATTTTTACTATTTAAATCTCAATTCAAAATCCAAACCCCGAACAAACACACCCTTAATTGTGTCTGCCTCTAAAATACAAAACATCATTACAATCAAGTATTGGCAACTTTTATCTCATTCAATTTTGTTTTTTTTTTTTTTTGCATTACTATTTTCAATAAACAGAAGTATATTTTATTTTCCATATAAAAAATTATCTAACAATTATTTATTTTTATAAAAAATTATACTCCTTTCTAAATCAAAATATTTATTTTTACTATTTTTTGTGCTGTCACACTAAAAAAATATTACTCCTTCCGTCCCATAACAAATTATCTATTTTTTCATTTTAGTCCGTCCTATAACAAAATATCTATTTTTTTTTAGTAATTGTACTATCTACCTAACATTACAAATACCTTTACAACTTACAATATATTACACAAATGTCATTACCTTTATATCACACAATAATAATAAAGTTATTTTAGTCATTTCTATTTTATTCTTACTATATTTCAATATAATACTAATATTTCTAAAACTCCCTACAAAAAGCAAATGGATATATAGTTATGAAACAAAGAGAATATTATTTTTAGTAAAAATAATCCTACATTAATACCAAAATACTATTAAATTTTGTTTAAATTATAAATATATCATTACACATATAATTACTTTTTAAGTTAAGTCAAAGAGCAAAAATGTCAAAACCTCTCGCACACTTCCACTAACTAATAAAATATTACTACCTATGTCCGGCTACAAGGGTCTCATTTATTTTTTACTTGTTCTTTTTTTAATATTAATTATTATATTAAAACGTAGTACAAATTAAGAAAAAATTGTAAAAATACTTTCATTAGTATCTTGTAATATTAATTGAATAACATTTGTACAAAAAAAATTATACAAATATAAAGACATTTTTAATGTTAAGTACAATGACGCAAAAGTTAAACGTGACCCTTAGAGGCGGACAGAAAAAATATTATTTCTTAATATATTATAAAACCTCAAACGATCACTTTCAAATGGTACCAAAAAAAGTAATATATTACAAAATATTTCATTCGTCCCAAAAGAGACGTCTTATTGAGTGTTGACACGGGAATTAAGGAATAATAATATTTAATTAAAAGTTTGTATAAAGTAGAATATAAAAAACTAAAATGCCCTTGCTTTTTGAAGGAATTTAAAAAGTAGATTAGAGTAATAACTATGGATAGTTTGGAAAAGTAGAAATAATTTTGTTATAAAATGGAGACCACGATTACTAAATAAGGAAACGAGACAATTGTTTTGAGACGGACGAAAATAAAAAAATAAGACAAACTCTTTTGAAATGAAGAGAGTATTTTTTATGGTATAAAATTTCATTGTATTTTTCTTTAAATATATTATGTGTATTTATATTGAGGTTCGGCAGTCCAAGGCCGGTAATCCCATGCCGTTTTGTACCTATTTTATTTATAGTAATTATAATATTCCTAATTTATTATTTTTTATATAAATAATGTTATTATTATTTTTTAAGTAATAATTAATATATATGATTAAAATTTTTAAAATAAATATTTAAATAGTATATCTCAATAAAATATAGTAATATATAATATGAATATTATATAATACAAATAAAAAATATATATTTATCTATTATTAATATTAACTAATTTTATAAGACCAGAGGATTTGTTTCTTCCTATTTTTATTTTACAAGTTTTTTCAAAAAACTAATACATTACATTCATTCATTATTATTATATTTTTTACACAATTTTTTATATTTTTCATAAATTCTTTTTATTTTCAACAATTTCACAAAACAAAAATATCCAGAGTAGTTTTAAATATAAATAATAATATTTATTTATGAAAAAAAGAAATAAAAATAAAATGACATACTCCCTCCGTCTAGATCACATTTATCTTTTTACTTGATTGTAATTAATATTAAAAATATTTTTATATTTTTATATTTTTTTTTACAAATATCTTTCTATCTGTATTATAAGATACTAATGCAAATATTTTTGCAATTTTTTTTTTAATTTGTATTACTTTTTTATATAATAATTACTCCATTCGTCCCACATAATTTGTCACTATTTTTTATTTTCGTCCGTCCCACATAATTTGTCATTTCTTTTTTGAAAAATTAATTATACACTTTAATCATATTTTAAAATTAATAATTAATTTTTTTAATCTTAATTAAACTATTTAGTTATCTTAATTTTAATCTATAATTATTTTTACTAAATAATAATTATTTTTACTAATACATTTCTTAATTGCTTATTAATTATACTTTACCTAAATTCCCGTGTCTACAGTAATAGACCCATATTGCATGATAATATTCAAATATCAACGCATATTAAAGATTTAAAATTAAATTATATTTATTAAATATATTTAAAATTATTAGAATTACAAACGCGTAATTTTATGGACGCACTATATTTTAAATTACTAATTTTTAACAAAAAATTTGATAATATATTTTAATTAACAATAATTTAGGCGTCTTACTGCACACTTAATATGCTCTACAGCAACCTTCAAGCGTGACTCCCTCAGTTCCGAGATTGTCCACCACGCGTCGTACCATTCCCAACGACGTCGTTTGCTCCTCCTCCTCCCTCTCACTTTCCGGTGCGGCGGCGCTGCTACTTCCGCCATGAAACAAGCTTCTTCTCCGGCGGCGGAGGAGGAAGATTCCGTCCGCCAATCACTCCGCACCCTCTCCGATTCCATTTCCCGCGTCCAAATCCTCAAAGGCAAGTGGTCACTCGCGGCGGCGAAGGTCAACACCCTCCTCGACCGCCTCTCCGACCTCTCCGCCGCCGCGGCGAACTCGCTTTCCGCCGATCTCCTCCGCGCTATCGCCGCCACGTCCTCCGCCGCCGCCGCCCTCGCCGACGCCTGCCGCTCCCCGAATCCCCCCGGCGGCAAGCTCAAAACTCAAAACGACGTCGATTCGATCTCCGCCAAGCTCGACGCTCACATCAACGACCTCCAAGTCCTCGTCCGGAGCGACGCCGCCGACGCTGCGACTGCCGCCGGTCGGCGCGAACCGGTCCGGTCCGAGGCGCGGAACCTGCTGACCCGGCTCCAGATCGGCTCGAACGAGTATAAAAGCTCCGTCCTCGACTCGCTCCTCGGCCTCCTCCAGGAAGACGATAAGCACATCTTCATCGCCGCCGCGTACGGCGTCGTTCCGATCCTCGTCAACCTCCTCGACTCCAGCTCCTCCTCTGAAATCAAGGAGAAAACCGTCACCGCCATAGCCAGGATCTCCGCCGTCGATTCGAACAACCATCTCCTCTCCGCCGAAGGTCTACTCCTCCTCAACAACCTCCTCCGCGTCCTCGAATCCGGCAGCGTCTTCGCCAAGGAGAAAGCGTGCGTCGCCATTAAAGCTCTGAGCAATTCCAAGGAGAACGCCAGAGCAATCGTCTCCCGCGGCGGAATCTCTTCGCTGCTCGAGATTTGCCTCCAGGGGACGCCTAATTCCCAAGCCCTAGCCGCCGGCGTCCTCCGCAGCCTCTCCGCATTCGAAGAAATCAAAAACTCCATAATCGAAGAAAACGCAGTTCCAGCCTTACTAATCCTCTGCAACTCCGGCACCGCCATGGCTCAGGAGAATTCCTACGGATGCTTCTGCAATCTACTCCCCGGAAACGACGAATTGAAGCTAACATTCGCAAGAGAAGGCGGAATCGAAAGCTTGACAAATTTCTGGGACTGCACAGCTCCCTCTGTTCATAGCCTCGAGGTCGCAGTTACCTTAATCCGCATCCTATCCACATCTCCGATCATCGCCGACGTCCTCCTCAGCCGCGCCTTCCTCGACAGAGTCGTCCGTTTATTAAGCTGCGGCGTATTAGGCGTTCGAATCGCAGCGGCGAGGGCATTACCGGAAATGGCATACAACAGTAAATTGAGGAAGGAACTCGGAGCAATGGGATGCATAAGTTTGCTCGTCGGAATGTTAGACGGGAAGGCCGTGGAGGAGCGGGAGGCGGCGGCAATGGCGCTATTGGAGCTAATATCCTACGCGCCGAACCGGAGGATCTTGAGGAAGGAGGAGAAGGGGATCATTTGCATAGTCCAATTGTTGGATCCATCGGTGAAGGATTTGAACAGGGAGTATCCGTTGTCAATATTATCGGCGATTGTGCACGACAAGAAGTGCCGGAAAATGGCGGTGGTGGCGGGGGCGCGGCTGCATTTGCAGAAGCTTGTCGACGCGAACGTCGCTGGCGCGAAGAAGGTTCTTGATGGGCTCCGGGGAGGGGGGCCGTGGGGGGTTTTTGGGAAGGGATGATCGAGGAAGAAGAGGTATGAATTTGGTTAAGGTACGTAACAATAATGTGTTTTCTGTACAGTGATGTTTGAATATGTGAATGGTGATTCTGTGATTATCAAATTGTGTTTCTTGCTTGAGATTTTTCCGCCATTGAAGAGTTCTTGACATTAGGAGCATGCAGTAGTTGTTAGTTGGAACATTGGGTAGATTTTATTTTATTTTATAATTTTATTTTTGTTGGGGATTTTGGTGTGATTGGGTGACCTAATTGATGGCACGGTTGGGAGATTGTGTTTATTGTGTATGATTTTATTTTTGTAATTTTGTTGATTTCTTGGGAAATGTATGTTTGTAATAAAATGAATGAGAGAATTGGCATGAAGAAAAAGTCATTGAATTGGATCGTGGATGTGGTTTGGTCTAGGAAATAAGGGATGTGTTTGACCTAGGTTTAAGTAGGATTTGGGACGAGATTCGGATATTTGCAAATATACGGATTTGATAATTGAACCAAATCGAATAAATATCCGAAACTACGAATTGTATCCGAATAAAAAATTTCAGGTTAACCGAAAATATTTGCAATATCTGCAGATATTCGAACCGAACCAAAAGTAAAAAAAGATATATTACAAAATAATTAAAATTCTAATTAAATAAAAAATATTTCAAATATTCGAACCGAAATCAAATCGAATATAATTATTAATATAAAATTTAAAAATCATAATATAAATATATTCGATTCGGATCGAACAAAAAAAAATATCAAAAATCAAAATTGAACCGAACAATATTAAATATGTAGTATTTGTATTCGAATCTAATTTGTACAGTTAACCGAAAATTCGATTTGATTCAGTTTGGTTCGATTTTTTTCACACCAATAGGGTTTAAGGGGTTGGTAACTTGCAAATCACAGCATCATATAGTTTACTACAACATTTCTATTTTTAGATAAAATTTATTAAATTAAAATATATTTATAAATATAAATCAATTTAATTAAATGTTTCTTTCGGTGTGATTTATAAAATTTTGGTTTGAGTTTTGTGTTAAAATAATGTATGATAAGATATTTTGTTAGATAAAAAAGTGTATTTTTTTTTTCATGAAGCAGAATCCAAATAATAAAAAGTTGGACTGTCGGAGTAGGAGGTTAAAGATAAAATATAGTCTTATTGTGTTAGACATGAGATTTAAAAAATATTCATATTATATGAGTTGTTGGTAAAAAATATGGATAAATGATTTTTTTGCCCTTGTGAGTATATTAGTGTAAAAAGTAGTGACAATTGTATAATAATAATGAAAAAATAGGGATAATTTTACGGTGATATGATTATTTATGGAAATGAGAATATTGTTTTGGGACGAACAAAAATGATAAACAAGACTATTGTATTGTAACGAAGGAAGTATTATTTACGTTTAAAATTGTACTTCTTTTGATAAAATTAGATTAATTTATTATAAATAAATAAATGTATTTTTTTATTTACTTATATTATAAAAAAATTTATTTTTTTCAAACTTATATATTTTTTTTTATTCTGTGTTCGTTTGTAGGATTTCATCCAAATTCTACTATTCATCCAAAATTTTCCCCCCAAAAATATCAAATCAAACTTTTATTTCTTATTTTTTATATTATAATAAAAAATCAATTTTACATTCAAAATATCACATCAACACCTAATTATACAACATCATACAACTATTCAAATTCAAAATTTTTACTATTCAAATCCCAACTCAAAATCCAAACCTCCAAACAAACAAATCATAAATAAAAATAATAAAATAATATTATAATTTATTATTATTAATTAACATTACTAATGAAATGCATCAATTCACGGGAGAAAAGAAGGAGGGAGTATTACGTTGTTCCGTCAATATATATTATATCTTATAAATACGAGTTTGTACGGATCTGCCACTTGAAAAGTCTATCTTGCCCCTCATTTCAAAAATGACAATTTAGCCCTTAACCTACCCTTGTACTGGCTTGAAAAGACGTTTTAGAACCGTCGTCAGCAACCGCCGTCAACCGCCCAAGATGAAACGTTTTGGAACGTCGTCTGGTTGGTTACATCAACCGCCTCGCCAAACGCCTCTACCAGTTCCAGAACTCAAATAGCCCAACCGACCAATCCAGAGACCAATCGGTAGACCAAAAGACTCCTTGGCCGCACCCACCAACCGACCTGTCTATCCGTCTGCGGACCAGCTGACTTGCCTATCCGACTGCAGACCACCATCAGACCTGTCTGTCCGACCGCTAACCATCCTACCGAGGACCAGCCGACCATACCAACCGACCGAGGACCTTCCGACCTGCCTATCCGACCGCTAACCAACCGACCTAATCATCCGACCGAGGACCTTCCAACCTGAGCGCAAATTTTTCTCCTTTTCCACCCGACTTCGTGTCTAACTTCCTTTAAGATCCTGCTATCCTTATTTTTATTTTTATTATTATTATTTTTTGTGCGTAACAATTATCAAAGTTGAAATATCCTTGCTATTTTTGACATTTCAAAACTCATAAATAGATGCAGGGTAACCCTTCTTATCTCAGTCTATCCGCCTACGGACCAGCTGACTTGCCTATCCGATTGCAAACCAGCCGACCTACTTTATCCGACCGCAGACCATGAGACCTGTCTGTCCGACCGCTAACCATCCGACCGATGACCAACCGACCAAGGACCTTCCGACCTGCCTATCCCACCGCTAAACAACCGACCTGATCATCCGACCGAGGACCTTCCGACCTGCCTATCCGACCGCTAACCAACCCATCTGACCATCCGACCAACCGACCTGACTAACCGACTTAAGCACAACTTTTTCTCCTTTTTCATCCGACTTCATGTCTAACTTCCTTTAAGATCCTGCTATCCTTATTTTTATTATTATTATTATTTTTTGTGCGTAACAATTATCAGAGTTAAAATATCCTTGCTATTTTTGACATTTCAAAACTCATAAAAGAAATGCAGGGTCACCCTTCTTATCTCAATCTATCCTTCTGCGGACCAGCTGACTTGCCTATCAGACCGCAGACCAGCCGACCTATTTTATCCGACCGCAGATCATCAGACCTGTCTGTCCGACCGTTAACCATCCGACCGAGGACCAACTGACCGAGGACCTTCCGACCTGCCTATCCCACCGCTAACCAACCGACCAGACCAACCGACCGAGGACCTTCCGACTTGCCTATCCGACCGCTAACCAACCCACCTGACCATCCGACCGACCAACCTGACCAACCGACCTGAGCGCAAATTTTTCTCCATTTCCACCCGACTTTGTATCTAACTTCCTTTAAGATCCTACTATCCTTATTATTATTATTATTATTATTTTTTGTGTGTAACAATTATCAAAGTTGAAATATCCTTGCTATTTTTGACATTTCAAAACTCATAGAGATGCAGGGTCACCCTTCTTATCTCAATCTATCTGCCTGCGGACCAGCTAACTTGCCTATCCGACCGCAGACCAGCCGACCTACTTTATCCGACCGCAGACCATCAGACCTGTCTGTCCGACCTACTGACCATCAAACCTGTCTGTCCGACCGCTAACCATCTGACCAGACCAACCGACCGAGGACCTTCCGACCTGTCTATCCCACCGCTAACCAACCGACCGAGGACCAACCGACCAGACCAACCGACCGAGGACCTTCCGACCTGCCTATCCGACAGCTAACCAACCCACCTGACCAACCGACCAGACCAACCGACCGAGGACCAACCGACAAATAGTTCAATTGTATTTTTGTTTTACAGTTTATATTTCAAATAAATAATGTTTCACTATATTACATTATAGAATAGTCGCGCGGTATACCGCGCAAGAGCGTGTTCTAGTGTATATATATATATATGAATTTTTTTAAAAAAATAAAAATAAAAATCGAAGGAATTTTTTTTATATAGTAAAGAAAAATATAGAAAACTAGTATTTTATATTAAAAAAAACATAATTATATTTTAAAAACAACCAAAAAAATAATAATAAATTTAAATTTAAATAACGGATGTATTATATTTACCTTCTACTTGATTAACTATGGGTGTGTTTGTTTGAGGGATTGGATTTAATATACATTATTTATTCCATTTTTTTTCTCTAAAAATATCAAATCAAACACATATTTTTGATTTTTTATATTATACTAAAAATCAATTTTACATTCAAAACATCACATCAACACTTATTTATATCACATCATACAACTATTTAAATTCAAAATTTTTACTATTCAAATCCCAACTCAAAATCCAAACCTTCAAACAAACACACCCATCCGTCCCAGATACCGTGTCTGCTACATTGTAGACACGGTATTTTAGGAGGGATGTAATTAGTAGATAATTAAGAATGTGTTAGTGAAAATAATTATTCTATAATATAAATAATTATAAATTAAAATTAAGATAACTAATTAGTTTAATTAAAATAAAAAAAATTAAAATTAAAAAATTTAAAATGAGATTAAAGTGTGTAATTATTTTCCAAAAAAGGAAAGTAACATAGTATGTGAAATGGACAGAAACAGCAACGTGGACATGATATGTGGAACGAATGGAGTATCTTTTAACTTTAGCTTAGTACATGAATTATTTAAGAAAATTAATTTCATCCATCTAAATAGGATTAATTATCTATAATTAGTGTATTATTACACAAGATTTTAATCAAGTATAAGTTTTAATAAATTACAGTAAAGGTTGATATATTCTTCTTCTTAATTACCTAAATTAAACATACCCATAATGTGCAAAAAATAAATGGTCATATTGATTTTTGAAAATTCAGCACCGTGCATATCGTATATTAACAAAAATCAATAAATTATTTATATTAATATAATACAAATATAACACATAAATTAACAACATATACAATAATTGATTTCAGTCTGCATGAACTATGTGAAATGCATGTAATCCCTCCGTTCCATAAAAATGTATTTATTTTTTTCGTTTTATTTCATCTCATAACAAAGTATCCATGTACTTTATTACACGAATGTCATTACCTTTATATCATACGTACTAATAAGGTTATTTTAGTCATTTCTACTTTATTCCTATTATATCCCAATATAATACTA